GAGAGAGAGAGAGAGAGAGAGAGAGAGAGAGAGAGAGAGAGAGAGAGAACTTGTTTTAAAACAAAATGCAGTGAGAACATTTTTACATATATTAAAGGTAAATTATTAGCGTTACTGAGTTTGATGTGTTCATTTTCTCACAAGCACATTCTAATCTTATTTCACAACCCTCATCTTAACTTGTCTCCTGTTTTGAGACATTTATAACTTCTCACCGGTCACTCTCCTCTCCTCATGTTCAACAGGGTAAGGTTCACTTGGAGATGCGATTGAATGAGGTGATCACAGTGAGCGGCTCAATGGGTCAACACTTACTAGTCCGGTGAGTACCACGGTTCCCTTGTCAGTCAAAGTGAGGATCTAATCGTGCTGGTTGTCTTATGAACTGGGAATGTTTGCAGGGAATTTGAAATCAATAAAGAAAAACAAAAAAATTGCCAAAGGGCTTCACATAAGAGGATCAGGTATGCATACATTCAGATGTGCCTTACATTATGTGTACATACAACAGACACAGAAAGCACAGGCTGCATTCAGGTGTACATGCACTGCAAAATCAGACTGCTTTCCCATTTTCATTATGATACTAGGATCAAAGGAAGGGGGATTTAAAGAGGCATATAGCTGTGCTTTGCCTGATAATATAGTCCAACTCTAAACATTTCTTCTCAATAGTTCAGACAGAGGTGTAAGAGAGAAAAAAATAGTTTAAAAAGTAGTTTTCGTTGATATGATCATATTGCATGTCAATCTTAGCTTTCAGTGGGTTGTTTTAGGTTTTGAGTGTTTCACAATATTACTTTATCTATCAACTTTATTTTGCATCTGTACGTCAGACATCAAAAGTTCGTCACTGTTACCAGACAAAGATATGCGAGGATCGTCAGCTCATTGAAGGATAAGGTTGAGCATGTACACACACACACACACACACACACACACACACACACACACACGTATGTGTGTCCTTGTCAGACCTCATGCTGTTTACATATGTTGTTTTGCATCCACCATTCATACTTGGAGAGCGAAGGTAATGAGGAGGAAGTGATGGCATCTGAGCAGGAAGCCTGAGCTTCTCACACTGCGACCGCTGTGGCTTTCTGCTGCCGTCATTCACCGGGCCTCTTGTTTGCTTAAACCGCCACCTGCTCACCATCCCGCTTCATCATATGTGCATAGATGATGATACCTTTTTACCCACCGGACCGCACAAGGTAGCGAAGTGAGAATCAAAGGCGTCAAGCTTATCATTTGCACACTGTAGTCATCCTGTCGCGGAGTCATTAGTCACCAGACATGGTCAGAGCGCAGCGAGGTTGAGGGTTGAATCGAGAGATGCAAAGGAGCCTACAGGGAATATCGTCATGACAGCCTGGAAGATGATGCACAAACATCCTGACATCGGCTGCGGTCGTCTTCTCCCTCTGGCCTCACTTAGTGGCAGGCCGAATTCATTCTTATTCTCCGGTGCCTCCTGCTTAGCAGCCACATCCTGTTTAGGGTGTCTACAGTGTGTGTTTGTTGACACCAGAAACAGTTGTGTTCCTGTGTGACACGAGCCAAACATCAGGGCAAAGCACTACTTCTAAATGAAGAAGCAGCACCACTTCATCAATGCATTGTGCTGGTTCGTGCTGCTGACAAAACCTCTGGGACTTTGCAGAAATGTCATTTTTTAAATAGCGATCTTGATGCCAGATTAAGGCGAAGTCTGAGAACTGATAAACTGGAAAAAAAAATTAAATTGCAACCAACCTCAATAGCAATATGTTTGCCTTCTGTGTCGAGCTCCATGATACAGTGAATGAATCAGTGCTACATCAAAACGTGATGAATAAATAAAAATACACACATCCTATGTCATGTGTGAATTTAAACTAAAATTAGCATTTTGTTCTGAATCAACATAATTTAGTTAGCTTTATACATGAAGGACAACATTTACCTTCAGCGTTACTGGTGTTTGAAGTTTTATTTTGCATTAATGATACCTATATTTCATTTACGTAAAAAGTAATGAATGTGCGAGTAATGATATTACAATGGCATTCTGTTTTTTATCTTTTTGTGGGCAATTTCTTGACTTTTTGAACTTGTTTTTTAAATTTGTAGAAGTTGATGCCCACTGACTGATCAGACATGCACGTCGATCAAGTTTGTGTTCGGGAACCTTCGTTGCTTCTGAAATAGTTGAGTCCCATTGTAACACAGTGGCCCCTCGTGGTAAAGGGTTCTGTTTCAAGTAAACCTCTTCTTATAATACTTCAGACTGTAGCGGTTTAATAGCAACAGCATTTCCACTCAGTCATCTGTTGAACCAACAAGACATTATTTACTATTTATGCTGTCAAGACACAGTGTTTGGTCCCTCACCACCCTCCTGCTGAAGTATTTAAATTTAATGTTTTTTTTAAACTATTGCTTCAACTGGTGATGATGATGTAAATTAACACGGTACTAAAAATCTTGTTCCTGTTGTGTCCATGCACAGTAAATGTATTAATTGTGTCCCTCCCTATCGCTTTGTGAACTCCTCCAGGATAATAGAGTGCCAGGGACTGCCTTTGATCAGTGGGCAGAATTGTGACCCCTATGCCACCGTGTCACTCGTTGGACCTGCCAGGTAACTTTGTTACACGTATGCCACAGGTTTTACAGCACACACATATGATGATATTCTTTACATGCTTTAAGTATAGAAGCAGCAGGTTTTCTCATTTTTAACGATCTAATCTTGAGAAAGCCGACGGAAGCCATAACAATTTTGTCTAGATCACAAGATAAAAGAGACTGATTTTTTTTTTTACTGATGTTCCTCAATAATGCTTTGTATAAATGGATGTGATCTTGATGCAAAGAAAAAAAACGTGGTTTTGCTGATGACACATTTTCAAATATGAGTATCAGAGTTTCTGTGATGTGTCCCCTCAGGGCTGACCAAAAGAAAACGAAGGTAAAGAAGAAAACCAGCAACCCTCAATTTGAAGAGACCTTCTCCTTTGAGGTACATCCTGTTTGGCTTACTTAACACTGCGACACTCTTTGTATACGTAAGCCTGTAAATAAGCCTCGACGTGTTCACCCTCAGGTCACAAGGTCCGGCAGCTACTCTAAGAAGTCTCATTTCCAAGTGGAAGAGGAGGACATTGAAAAACTTGAGATCAAGTAAGTTTGTTGATTTATTTACTTATTTTCTCTCATCTGTGCGTTTCACTTTCTGTGACTCTCTCTCTCTCTCTTTCTCTCTCTCTCTCTCTTTCTCTCTCTCTCTCTTTCTTGTTTTCCCCTCTATAGTCTTGACAGAAGAAAAATTATTTCTTAACAACTTGAGGACAAAAAACGTGAATTTAGATGTGGTGTGTTCTGACTACTGATAGAGAGCCTTGGTTTCTGGTTAAGGATATGTGGGGCTTCCGTCACAATGGATTCATAGCTCACTTGGTAAGACTAGACAGATTCGAAGGTAAAAACACTCATGCATGGTTTTGAGGTTTGGATTTGAGGTGATGTCATTGCACGGGTCTTGTTTTCGCTTTTTACGCACCGAGCAGGTAAGCACCACTCGAGTTGTGACATTTATTTTGTCCCTTTTTGCCTAATTGGAATTGGGTAGTTGTGCGTTTGTGCTGCACACACGGCAACAAAAAAAAAAGTGTGTTACTCGACGTACATGTAGTTCAATGCTATATATTCATATATGAAATGCATGTCTCACTTTGCAGAGTTGACTTGTGGAACAATGAGAATCTGGCTCAGGATGTGTTTCTGGGGGAGACGCGGGTCCCGGTCAAGATCCTTGGGAATAGCCACGTCCACAAAGCCTGGTAAGGACCAGACAGAAGATGATGTCTTTTCATTTCTAACATCATTATCCACTAGGAGTGTAAACAAATACAAATACATTCATGTGCATTACATTTCTTTTTATCTTCTGTCACACGATTTCACCAATTTGATACAAATATCTGCTGAACTCACTCTTTGCTGTGGTGGTGCCAGTGGATCCAAAAACACATTTAGAAATCAAAGAAAAAGGCGTTCCTTATTACTCCAGATCATGGGTCATAGATCCATATTTTCACTATTCCTTTCCACTCTGACCATAACACAAACACAAACGCCTGTTTAACAACTTTTATTTAGACTCAATTTACACTTTTCTTCTTCTTTTGGAAGATGGGGTTCAAATATAAATCCTGCTTTATTGTCCGATTGATTTATGTACAACAGTACAATTTTAATATTTTGTGAGCAGCTAAATCTCTACATGTAAACATGACTAGTTTAAATGACGGTAGAAAACTATTTAACACAGAAGAGGAAGCAGTCCACACCATTTCCGGCCCCTTCTGGGGAGACCGCACTGACTGCCAGTATAAATACTAGGGCTGAAAATGAATGGGGCCCATTTTAGATTTTTTCAGGGAAGATAATGGAAGACTAGAAGACCTGTGCAGCATACAAACACCACTTCTAGCTCATGTTTATTAACCAGCAGAAATCCAGGTTTTTTAGAAATATTTCTTCATCAAACAGGATCAGCCTGTGTCTTTGGTAGAGTTTATTAGACGGCGGAAACATGAGGGACAATGATGGAAATAAGTCCAGGACTGTCTTGTTCCTGCCAAAGTCTGTTGTGTGTCTTAATAAGATCTAACATTGTGTTCAATAACCAAAACCAAGCCTGACACAGTCACCTTCTTTGTAACTAGATCAGGTTCTTGCACCGGAGGAGCTTCATGTTTTTGAGTCTTTTAGTTTAAAAAACTCCACCCTGCTCACCCATTAAGACGACTTGAACGCTTGAGTTCTTCCGTGCTATTACAAGGTCATTTGAGAAATCTTCCTTGATTTCTCAGTGTTTCTGTTGTGTGGGTGTTTCCTAGCTCTGTGTCAGTGTAGGTGATATGGGATTATGCCAGATAGCAATCTGTTGGTACATGAGGGCTGTGAGTCGTGTGCGTGGGTGGCTTTATGCACGGTGGCAGTACCTCATGTCCTATGTTTATGCTGGAAGCCGTCCATGTCTCTCACATAAAGACCGTTCAGCTTCATGAAATCGGTACAGGTGATCCGTTGACTTTTTGCCGAAGAAGCGTCGCTGTGCCTGTGTACCGTGATAACGGATAAAGCGGCTTACGGACAGGCCTACTGTATGTATCTGCAGCTTTTTGAAGCACTGCAGTTCAACTCCGCATTTCATCATTTTGTGTTTTGCTCCACCTGTTGGCTTTCAGAGAGACGTGCATGCAGCAGAAATATGAGCAATGTTCTCTTAATCAAAGTCAGTTAACAAACCCTTTGATTTTTAAGTGGAAGTTCTCGACTCCACTGGAATTGTGAAAATTAGCTGGAACAATAATAAAGCAAATGTTAAACGACAGCTGTCTGGTTTATCGGTAATCATCAGCTTTGTTGAGTCGTACTTTGGACCCCCTTTACGTAGCGTCTGAGCTGCTTTCATCTTGTTGACGCTTCAGAGCTACGGTAAAGCATCATCTAGGTGTATTAATGTATCGCTAATGGTCTTATTGAATTCAGTTCTGTTTTATCAGTTTACAGGGAGTTTTCTTGCTCGTTGAGGAAAACATCTTAAAGGATCGTGATGCTAATTTCTTTCCAAAGGAAGCGTCATCCCAGTTAGAAAACAATGATATATATATATATATAAGCCCGAGCATTTCCATAAAGTCAGTCATCTAAATATGACTATCTACAAGGTTATTTAATTGTCATTGTACAACAGGCTTGCACAAAGAAATGCAGATTGCGGTCCCATTTTGCTACTCAACAAAACACACACAACAAAAAATGGAGGGGTGGAGGATGAATTAAGGAGTCTCACAGCCAGAGGAAAGAAGTTGTTTTGAAGTCTGGTGGTTCAGCAGCTGATACTCGTGTATCTCTTGCCAGATGGCAGCAGGGTGAAGAGGTTGTGCCTGGTGCGGGTTTTGTCTTTTAATATCCTTTCGAGTTCTTTGCAGGCACCTCTAATCACCGATGCTCAGTAGACGCGTACCAATGATGTTCTGGGCGGTTTTAATCACACGGTGTAGAGCCCTCCTGTCCTATGCCGTGCACATGCCGTGCACATGCTCCTCTGTAAAACGACTACGACTGAAATATTTCTCATATCCATTGACTCTGTAAGGAGCTTAAGCATCTCTGTGATGTTTAGCAGCTTCACGGTGCTGTATCCATAAACTATTCACCAACCTGCATGTTCAGCTGTCCTTTTTTATGCAGAACGATAGTTGCATGCACAACCCGTCCTGTGTTTCGGCAAAGCATAAGGTAAATGAGTTTTTGATTGATAAAGATGCTTTTTTTTTCGGTCCAATAAAGTTTAGGGAGCATTAATCCCACGTGTAGATACTCTCCATTCTTTTCCTTTTAGCTGTCTCTTTTTGCCGGTAATATTGGTACGAGACAGTTTTTATTGTGTTGAGCAGTTTGTTTCAGGTCAGCAGGATCAACCGTCCCTTCAGCTTCTATTTTCTGAACGGGGTAGTGAACTTAAATCATTCGGCCCCTGTGTAATTCTATGTAAGGTTGTTTTTAGGTTTTGTACTTTTAGGTTTTCTCAGGTTAATCCTGGTTGGTTAATCCTGACATTGAAATGTATATGTTTTTACATGCATCACAGCACAGTGATGTGGTGTCTGTCTTCCTGTGGTCTAACAGGTATCTCCTCCAGCCCAAAGGGAACGGCAGCAAGTCCAAGTCTGATGATTTGGGATCCTTGCGTTTGAAGCTGACCTACATAGAAGACACAGTGCTGCCATCTGCCTGCTACACACCACTCTGCAACCTGCTGCTCAAATCCCCAGATGTGAAGGTAAAACCTCCGAAAGAACATACACAATTGTACGTTTCTAGTTTAAAGCAATCACAGAATCTAGGCCAACGTACACGGAAACCATTTAGGGGCTTTTAGTAGATAGCTCATGGTGGTGTAGCTTTCCTTTGTGTGGCCCAATCACCTCAGTTTCTAAAATGCGCTAAATTGTAATCATGGAATTGATCAGTTGCTGATAATGCTGTGTTGACGCTGTGTATCTACACCTTTCAGCCCATCTCGGCGTCGGCCGCACACATCTTGGGGGACATCTGCAGAGAGCGGTACGAGGCTGTTCTGCCCACGGTTCGACTGCTGCTCCACCACAATCGCTTTGTGCCTTTTGTCTCTGCTGTGGCAGCACTAGAGCTGGACAACACTCAGTGAGTACTTGCACGTGCATGGCGTCCGGAGAAAAGCCTGGTGCTCGAAGCGTTACACGGCAAATGGAATCCTTCTAACAGGAGCTACTTCGTTTTGTTTTAATTCTACTCACACAGGCGTACCTACAGTACAGTACAGCACAGTACAGGTATATACTGACATGTAGATGATATGTGTAAGCACACATTTTTCCTTTGACAAACTGAGCTAAACTGTCAAACCTTTAGATGCTGAAACACAAGGGCTGATATATTGAGGATTGCTCCAGAACAACACAAAATAACTAACTGTGAAATGGTCTTTTGTCAAACCTGGTTAACGTTAGTGGCATATTTCTGTGTCCATGCAGGGAGGCTAACACTATATTCCGTGGCAACTCACTGGCAACACGCTGCATTGATGACATGATGAAGATTATGGGAAAGAATTATCTGGCAGTTACCCTGAAGCCTGTAATAGATGAGGTATGAGTAACCCGGACACGCACGCATTCAGAATAGATGCTAGAAAGGCCATAAGTCACTGGAGTCAGTATGGAAAACTCCCCTTAAACAGCTGCCTTTCCGCTGCAAACATGGAGATGGAAGTGGTAGGTTTGGAGTTTGTACAGAGTACAGAGTACAGAGTACTGCATTGACTGCCTCTTTTTCAAACCTATCTACTAATTAATAGTGCTTTATTTGTGGCTTTTTAAGTCTAGTTTACCTCCATCTGCAAAATGTTCCATATTTTATTTTTGGTCGGCTTAAAAATAATTTTATTTCATCGACATGTCTGAAACAAATGTCAACAGTACTCTTACTCGTCAGCTCCTGTTTTTCTATGCTCAAGATAATAGGAATAAGAAGGTCTTAATTTCTTATTAATACATTGACTCTAATTGTTTGTTGTTGTTTTTGTCCTTTTTAACCTTTTCATAGATTTGTGAATCCAACAAAACATGCGAGATAGACCCCGTTAAACTGAAGGAAGGTGACAACACGGAAGTCAACAAGGTGAATGCACTCGACGAGCAGAACTTCCTTAAGTTCTTCTGATAAATCCAGTAATCGGACTATGTGTCTGACTTTCCCGACCATCATCCATATCATTTCGTTGGCCTTTTCCTTTTAAGATGTTTGGTTTTCTCTCTTTTTACTGATGTGTTTTTCTTTTGTTTTTGCCTCTGCAGGAGAACCTTCAGGGTTACGTCCAGAAAGTCTTTTCCTCCATCACCCAGTCAAGTTCCAGCTGTCCCCCACTTATGTGTGATGTCTTCAGGTCACTGAGACACTTGGCCTGCAAACGCTTCCCCGGTAAACGCCAGAGCCTGTAGTACATTTTTTGCAGCCACTTGGTCAGAGAAATAATCATTCAGACATCTAAAAGAGACATAAAAACAGACCCAGCGCAGACATGAAGCTGGGAAGAAGGTGTTAATCCGTCTGTGTTATTTCTTCCATTCCTCTGACATTGTGAAACTGTTCAGCAGGTCACTGCTTATTGTTCCAAGGAACGTAAATATGTTAGTGGTCCCCTGCACCAAACTGATGTTTTAATATCACTGTGTGCTGCAGTTTATTTAATTTCGGTAGCACATGGAGTTCCACAGTGTTCACCCCACGGAAGAGTTACAGGATAGCCTCAGAAAAAAACAAGGACAGTGTCGTCAGAGGACTTGACACGGCTCTAAAACTGGGCTTTTACTATGTAGCTCAATATCAGCAGCTTGGTTCAACATAATGAACACAAGAGCTTTTATAGTGTGTTATATTCTGTCCACTCCCTGTATGTACACGCTAGAAACATTCTTGGTATATTGGTGATGGTTAAATGTCACCCCTGTTGTTTTTCCTGATGCCATGTTCTTTCTCTCTACAGCCGACCCACATGTTCAATACTCGGCCGTTAGCAGCTTTGTTTTCCTGCGATTCTTCGCCGTCGCTGTTCTTTCTCCCCACTCCTTCCAGCTCCGTTCCCACCATCCTGTAAGCGCATGGCTTTGGCACCATTTAAAAACAAATACGGGAGAGCAAATTCACATACGGGCCTATATACAGTACGTTGTCGTCATTGTGCACTTCTGTTTTAATTCCAGGACCCTGAGGTTTCCCGCACACTCACACTCATCTCAAAAACAATCCAGACGCTGGGCAGCTGGGGTAGTTTGTCGAAAAAAATGGTAAGATCACCCGTAAGGATGAGAAATTCTTATTAGCCAGTTAAAGCAAAGTGAGAGGACGGGTAAATGGATGTATTATTCACTTTGTAGGATCATGACGTTTTAATAAAGCCGTTTATCATTCTACGTTTAGAGGAACACTGAACAGTGTTAAATATAGTCTGCTGCGTAGTGAATGGAAAGTACTGGTACTTTATGTCTTTAACTGTCATCAAACTTTATCATCTGTCTCATGTATGTCTTTATTTCTCTTTCTCTTTGTAGTCTAGTTTCAAAGAAACCTACATGTACGACTTCTTCAAATCATTCCAAGAAGACAAGTGTATAGAAAAAGTTAAAAAGGTATTTTGTGATTGTACTCAAAAGTCCGTAGAATGCGAATGTTTATTTATTGATCATTTGAAATGGTTAACACTCAAATCATTGTCAATGCTGTTTTCCAGTTCCTTGATGAGATCTCCTCTAACGTCAGCAAAGGGTCCAGTGGGCTGGAGGACGCAGTGGTCCTCAAGGAGGGGTGAGTGTTCATCATGAGCCGGGATCAGTAGGAATTTAAGGGCGGGGAGCTCATGCTCAAAAAGTGCTGGATCTCACATTTACCATTGTGCTAAGATTTATTCAAAATCAAAACAATGGCATATTTTTACATGACATTATTCAATTTAAACTAACCCAAAACCCTTTGTTTTCCTCCAGTAAAACATGGATTTGTTTGTTTAACCTCAATCCTGTGTGTGTGTCTGTGTGTGTGTCTGTGTGTGTGTGTGTGTGTGTGTGTGTGTGTGTGTGTGTGTGTGTGTGTGTGTGTGTGTGTGTGTGTGTGTGTGTGTGTGTGTGTGTGTGTGTGTGTGTGTGTGTGTGTGTGTGTGTGTGTGTGTGCGTGTGTGTGCGCGCGCGTGTGTGTGTCCTTCTAGGGAAGTACAGAAACGAGCCCAGGGGAAAAAACGCCTTGGCAAGAAAAACTTTTCAAAGAGATGGCTCAGAGTGACCAACAGGGAGCTCTCCTACCACAAACAAAAAGGTGAGACCAGTTTCTATCATCTCGTTCTCCAACCACATACAGTTTCATCCAGAACTCGCAGCATAATATAAGATCAAACTGACGGGAGATGGCTGCATGCAGCGCTTTCTATCACGGTGTCGTTCTCAATACCACCACCAGGTGGCGCCACAGTCATCCGATCCAACACTTAGTGGAGGTGCCAATAGACTGGCTGGATTTATTTGCCAAAAGTTGAGATGTAAATGTTATGTTGTGTATAAATAGTCAGACTCAGAAATTGTCATCAATGGAAAGCCTGCATACTTCAAAAAAGTCCACAAAGTACTCAAACTGATCATCTAAACAGTTAACAATTGTGATTAACGAGCAAATCATAGGTGTCCCAACACTGTTTACTTTGTCTTAACTGATTGATGATGTTGGGTTCTTAATGTTAATGGGGGATCTAAGGAAAGGATCAAGAGTGTTATGCTCTAGCTGGATTTATTAGAGAGGGATGATGTGATGATGCTGCTGGTATTATACACCCCAACTCGTCTCTCTTTTCTCTCTATTGACCGGAAAGCACTGCAACTTCATGTCCTGCAAAACCTCAATAAAAGAAAAATTGATTTTCACTGTGTATTCTTCTTGACAGATTTGACAGAATTACTTTTTTGATTTCCAGGGAAAGAGGCCCTCTGCATCATCAATGTCAAGACTATCCAGGCGGTGGAGAAACTAGATGAAAGTGCCTTTAACCGCAAAAATGTAAGCCAATTCCTCTCTGACACCCAATCATTAAAGCATGGCCCCATTGTAATGGATAGCAGCCAGTTCCCCAAGTTGCAGTAATGAAATGATGATCGTATTGTATTGGGAGTCTCGTGAGCGTCGTTGACGTCTTTACTCCAAGAATTTGAGAGTGTCCTGGATATGACCTGGGACGGGATGATTGGTAACATCTTAAACTGCTTCGTTTCTCTCGTGTCAGATGTTCCAGGTGGTCCACTCTGAGAAGCCTCTGTATGTGCAGGCAGGAAACTGTGTGGAGGCCAGTGAGTGGCTGGAGGTCCTGGGCCCGGTCAGTCGCTGCAACGAGGGACGCTTCTCCACCTTCCATCCCTCGAATTACACCAGTGGAGCCTGGCAGTGCTGCAAAAACCAGAGTAACAACGCACCGGGCTGTAAGCCCTGCACAACGTGAGTCATGGACATGTGTTGCCGATCATAATAAAACACTTGCTCAACTTGCTCTCTACTGTTTTGAAACTCTGCTCCTGCTGGTTGTAAATTTGACCAACCATGTAGATGCCACTCCAGAGCTGTAATGAAAACAGTCATGTTGTGATATAAACTCAAAACTTTGGATCAGTTAGGTGTGCAGCTGCCAAACGGCCGTTGTCTTTTCCCAGGAGCTTCTCAGTTTTTCCACATGTGGATCGACACGCATGCAAACAAAGTGCAACACTCTTAAAGTTACAATCTCAACGATCTCAGTTTTATGCACTTTAGTGGAGCCTATGGCGACAAACAGTGGTTCCAGGTGTGTGTTTTTGGGCTCTCACTTCCCAGAGACGTTGATGTGATTTTTCTAGGGGATGTCACCACAGACACCCAGTTCATTGTAGTCTGGGCCACAGGGCTCAATCTCCATTGTGTCACCTAACCACTCTGTCCGACAAAGACTTCTGGACCCAGATATGTAGGAATACCTTTACAATGCCTCACTCACCTACAGATAATTCAATACTAAGTGATTCACGGAACGCACATCACCCAACACGAGATGTATAAAAAGGGATTTTCAGATTCATGATAGGTGAGCACGATGAACACATCAGACAATAATTTCCACTCGGCTCTGCCCACCACGTCATTACATCTGGAAACGAGTCTCCGACAGGATATCCCTCATTACGAGCCGTAGCACCTCTCTGTCTGCTCGGTGACCTCTACAAACCCATACTCGCCAACTATTCCGCTCACTGGAAAACAAGAAACACAAGAAACATCATCAATGGTTCAACCTTCTCACAGAACATAGTTCCGTGGAAGGAATGTCGCCACCAAAACCACACCGTTAAAAAAAGAAAAGAAAACCTGGGCCCCTTTTTCAGTCTAAACTAATTAGAATATAGTATCCTTCGCTTCTCTCTGCTGATCCCTCCTGGATGAGATCCTCTGACACGTTTCCTCTCTCCTCTTTCAGCACCGTGCTGGCCAACCTGCAGCTGGACATCGACTGCGACCGGGAAACGGAGAGAATTTTCTCTCTCCTCTCCTCGAACGATACCAAGCTCCAGAACATGGAGGGTCAGTGTTTGTTCATGACTTCATTACAGTGAGAAGGATTTGATGATTACACTCCTGGGCAAATGTCACAAAGACCACTATTGGATTCTTGGAGGCATTACGTCATTGTTAGAGATAATGTAATGATTTGTGTATGCACGTGGTACTTGTGGGTCAGTGTAAGTTGAGAAAAATAAATGTTTTTAATTGTTTTGGCTCTACTCTTCAGGATGTTGGATTAGCTGTTAAAAAAACAAAAAAGGCTGCACTGTGTAATGATGTGGTTCCTGTCTGCAGACGCATGTGCCAGTATGGCGGTGTATCAGGGCCCTCAGCGGGAGCAGGAGGACTACTCCAAGTTTACCATTCAGGAACCCAAAGAGACCTTTCAGACGCTCAAACAGCTCCGAATCGTCATGGAGGAACTTCAGAAGCAGCACAACATCAGGAGTGACACCACGGCGCAGTACGGGAGCCTGTAAGTCTGTTGTATTTGTACTGCAATACTTATGCATGTTTGTGTGTATGACTTTGTATCCGTAGCTTTTATTTTTTTTTTTCCCCTGTAAGTCCCAGCGATGCAAAACTAAACCAGTATTGTTACTGCTGCTCCCACTCACACAGAGATCAGGAACTCATCTTTGTTATCCTTTCTGTTTCAGGGACAACCCCATCGTAGGGAAAACCTCTTAACCTCTTTGGAAGGTGTGGCCTGAAACGGCCATAGCAGCAGGTGTCGGAAGCCTCCACGGTCCTAAAGGAGTCACTGGAGTTGTCCCAGTGAGAGCAGAGCGCCCGCTGTGTGACCAGGAGATGCACCCTGACCTCCAGACAGCATGAGTCCACTACAGCAGTGACCGCCTAAGAAGGGGAATCAGAACGAGCTTCTCTCCTCTGTCCTTGAAATGAACAAAGCCCTTTGGTGTTGTCGTTTTCTTTGGCAGTGCGTCGCCTCATCTCCTCCCCTCCTCTGGTCCCTTTTTAAAGACTCTTTTCTCGTCTTAATTTATGTCCTCTTTGACGTCTATGGCTGTTTTTTTAAAAAGGCATCATTACAGTAGATAGTGTGTGTGTGTGAATAGGCTGCTAATCTTTTTTTTTATTCACCAAATTCTTTTCCACCAAACAGCTGTGATGATGCTCTCTCAAATCTTTTTGAAGTTTTTCTCTGAATATCTGTCTTTTTAGAGTTGATTTAATAATCATCGTTGTCTATTTGAGCCCCGTTTTATCTTTCTCTACTCTTCTAAGGCCGGTCCACAGCAAGAACGATAACTATATCAATAACTATGAGAGCTGATTAACGGTAATCTTCTGTAATCAGCGGGGCCACGAACGCGTCGCACGCTCCAGCTGGGTCGGATGTGACGATCTGTAAACTCAGAAGGATTTTGATTGGCTGTCGGTGTTTCTATCGTGCATCAAATCGCTCTGAAAACGATTCCAACGATGCTGTTTGTTGTGATAGTTGTGGCATGGACTCCTCTTTACGGTATATTTATAGTTCTTGTTCTAGGTGTGGATGGCCCGTAAGTGTCCGTTCTCTTCTGAACAGTTGTGTGTGTGTGTGTGTGTGTGTGTGTGTGTGTGTGTGTGTGTGTGTATCTTTCAGAGGACAGTGGAGTAGATGGAACCGATCTGCCTTACTTTGATGGATGTTTCTTTCACATTAAAAGCTTAGGGAATGATGCAGAAGCACTTTAAATATTTGGAGCACTCCAAATGGAAATGATTAGATACTTGTTATCAGCTTTCCCCATTTTGATCAGTTCCATGATCTTGAGTAATCTTTTTGTTTAATTTGTGTATAATTACATTTATAGCCTGTAGATTTTAAGATATTTTTCTTGACCAAAGACAGTTTCATTTTTTTGACTTGAAAAGAATAATAACGTATTTTGAATACAAAGGTTTAAAAATGGAGAAAATCATATATATATATATATATATATATATATATATATATATATATATATA